TATGAATTTTGCATGACATAAGTGTTGCTATCTGTATGCTTGAGAGGCCACTGGATGATTAAATTGGATATAGTTTTGTTGTGCAAGGAAGGATATGGATCCACATGCTCAATGGTTATAGAACTATAGGGCAAGTGAACAAACAGATGGTAACTCAGAGAATGAGTATTAATCTCTCTGCTTCCCCTTACTCTGCAGCTGAAGAGACAGGGACAGGGGTGATTTGGGCAGGGTATGCACCTCTAGGACACAATCACAAGATTCTCTGGGAGGTGAATGAAACCAGATGCTCTGCAGAGTGAAACCTGGCACAAAACAGGTTACCCAGGCAGAATCGGAGCTGAGGTGTCCTCTTTCCCCTACCATAATTTGCGTACCACAGGGAGACAGCTGGGAGAGATCCTTTCCTGGGTACCAGCCAGCCCTCAAAAAAGAAATACTTCCTATGAAAGGTTTCAGATCTTGGAAACACAGGGACATACAGATGTGCCAGATGCTAAAGGCATATGGAATACTCAAGGTCACTGACTCATGTGTCTGTATGTTGCTGGAGGAAGATAGAGAATATTCCAGCAGGACATGAAGTCTCTGAAGAAAATCCTCAGATGTGTAATTGTCTTTAGATAAGCCTATGCTTTTGGAAGAGAGGTATACCCTGGTTTGAACTACTTGAAAAAAGCGTGAAAGGAAGAGAACTGCACACACTGACTGGCCTGAAACAGGAGAAGAGGTCACTCTTATTTAATCCAAGCACTAACACAAAGCCATGAGATGCGGTTTCTGGAGCAGAGAACTGACAAGCTTGCTGAATGGCCTGGCCAAGAGCCCAAAAGTCTGATAGCAAACTCAGCACGTGTGTAGACTCTTTAGTGGTTTACAGTCTGTCTATTTCTGTTATGACTTTTGTTCTCGAGTAAGTCCTCTTTAAGCTTCTGAAATCCAGGGTCACTGGCAAATGCTGCTGTTGTCCCTGAGAAAACGAAACGGCAGGTGCCACACATCCCCACACTAAAGCCCCTCTCTGCAGGGAGGCATCGCTCCCAGAAGGTGATGGGAGGGTTGACCTTTGAAGATGTGCTCCTGAGAAGGCCGAAAGAGGAAAAGGGATGAAAGGCAGCTGGGTTGAGGCAGCCTATGCCAGCCCTCTGCAGGACAGCATTCGTCCATCAGTACTCTGCCATAACAGGTAGAGAGTCTTGGCTTCCCTTTGCTTTCACTGGGAAAAAGCTCTTCAAAGCCACCCGCAGTTGTGCAGTCAGCATGCTGTTAACATGTTCAGATGTTACTGCCTCTTAGCTGAGCAGACGTTCTAGACTCCACACAAAGCACTGATTTGACTTTCTAAACTGCAATAAAACGCTAGATTTGAAATATGCAAATCCAAAGTTATCTTTCCCCTTAATGTTATGCTATCAGCAAACACAGTTGGCTAAAAAGAAGACAACTCACCACTCCCTTAAGCAATCTGGCTGGATGGATTTAAGTACCACACATATTTGTGAGACTTTTTAACTACTTTATGAGAAGATAACAATGTAAGCAGAGGACATGGAAGTAAAAGCCTAAAACCAAGAAATTGTTCAGCTATCATAGAACAGAATCAAAGAATAGAATTGTTTGGGTTGGAAAAGACCTTTAAGATCATCAAGTCCAACCACTAATCTAGCACTGCCAAGTCCACCACCAAACCATATCCCTAAGCACCACATCTAGATGTCTATTAAATACCTCCAGGGATGGGGACTCAACCACTTCCATGGGCAGCCTGTTTCAACACTTGACAACACATTCAGTGAAGAAATTTTTCCTGATATCCAATCTAAACCTCCCCTGGTGCAACTTGAGGCCATTTCCCCTCATTCTATTGCTTCTTACTTGGGAGAAGAGACCAACCTCCCCCCCCCCAGCTCACCCCTCCTGTCAGGCAGTTGTGGGGAGCGACAAGGTCTCCCCTCAGCCTCCTCCTCTCCAGGCTGAACACACCCAGTGCCCACAGCTTCTCCCCATCAGCCTTGGGCTCCAAACCCCTCACCAGCTTCGTTGCCCTTCTCTGGACATGCTCCAGCCCCTCAATGTCCTTCTTGGAGTGAGGGGCCCAAAACTGAACACAACATTCAAGGTGCAGCCTCACCAGTGCCCAGGACAGGGGCACGATCACTTCCCTGCTCCTGCTGGCCACGCTATTGCTGATACAAGCCAGGATGCTGCTGGCCCTCTTGGCCACCCAAGCACACTGCTGGCTCATATTCAGCCGGCTGTCAATCAGTACCCCCAGATCTCTCTCTGCCAAGCAGCTTTCCAGCCACTCTTCCCCATGCCTGTAGCGTTGTATGGGGTTGTTGTGACCCAAGTGCAAGACCTGATACTTGGCCTTGTTGAACCTCATACAATTGGCCTCAGCCCATTGATCCAGCCTGTCCAGGTCCCTCTGCAGAGCCTTCCTACCCTTGAGCAGATCAACACTTCCACCCAGCTTAGTGTCATCTGCAAACTTGCTGAGGGAACACTCAATCCCCTCATCCAGGTCATTGATAAAGATATTAAACAAGACTGGCCCCAATACTGAGCCCTGAGGAACACCATTTGTGACTGGCTGACCAGAAGATATTTTAGATATCAGAGGCACCAGCCTGGGATCTGCTTGGGCAATTATTTGTTAAGTGAATGGTCCCAGTAAATAAATGGGACAATACTCATAAAATGTGCTGCATAACTGGAGTCCTCTTGTTAGACTGCTGCAAAGATAATTAGTACTAGAGTATGTATCTCAGAAGGTATGTTTAGTTTGCTTTACTATCTAGCTTGGATTCCTAAACAAAAAGTTCTAAATCTATTTTTGATACTGCAAATTCAAACAATTTTGCTCATGAGTATCTTCAATGAAATTAAGTAGAAGTAAGTCATATTACATCAATAGGGAGACATATGACATAGTATTTATGTGTGAAAATGTCTGCAGGATTTGGTTGCAAAGCAATGGACTGATAAGAGTTCAACTGGTTGGCTAAAAATACAGTCCTAAAATCCAACTGCAAGAAAACTTGCAGATCTTTTAGAAATATTTGAGATAATTTAGCATAAGGATTTCATGGAAATATCACAATTTTGTTTAAATAAAGTTCAAAAGATGGCTAGTGGGCATGATACAGCAAAAGAGACATCTAACAGTACAGAGATGGGCTATATACACTAAAATAGTGACAACAGAAAGGCCCTGATTATGCAAAAGATTGAGTACTGTACAGTGTACTGTAGAGTTTGGGGGAACCTGGAGCCCCAATAGTAAATATTTAGTTACACAGGTGCTAATCACAATGATAGAAAGATCAATCAAACATTTAAGAAAATTACATTTCATTAGATTTGAGTTCAGAATGCTTGCAGAAGAAAAGAGTTCGCCAGTTATTTGCTATATGGTTTGCTTGGTACGTAGCTTTCATTTTAGGCACTGGAATGGTTTGATTATTTTTTTTTCTTTCACTTGCACAATACAAGAAAAAAAAGAGAACAAAATGTAAAAGGAGGTAGAAAGATCAAACAAAAGGCTTGTTCCCCAGCTGAGAGCGGGCCCAAATAGCTGTTTAAGCTTGGCTCAGGAGTGCTCTCCTGCATCATTTTCAGAAGAGCAGGCTGTGGGTATGGAGTTTTGCATCTTTTGCAAGAAAATGAGCAAATCGAAAAAAAAAGTTTCTTACACTTTGCTGTATGAATTTCCCTAAAGACAGCACTCACCATATTGGCTAAAAATAGTGTAAAATGCAATGCTATGTATTAGTATCACAACCATTCTAGCTGTCAAGAGTTACAGACCAGCATCAGCTTGTGCTATATTCTCTTGAGCACCTCTCTCCTTCCTGTTGCCCTCTGTAACCAGCAGCTATGGGACCTGGCACTGACTACAGCAATTCAGTCCCCGCAGGCTGGCCCTCAGTGGTACACCTCAAGGCTCGACAGGCACTGAATATTTTGAGAAGGAACTCGGCGAATATAGCTTTTGCATTTCCCAGGGTTTACGGCAGTGAGGTCAGTTTGCTAATAGTTTACAATACAACATTTCTCAGAGATATGCTAATGCTTCATGAAATTTAAATGTTACTTTTGATCTAGTCCATACTAAAAACCCACAGTTAAATTTATGAAGTGGCAATAATCAGAGTTTTTCAATCTTAGTGCAAGTGCATTCCCACATGCCTACGAATAAACAAGCAGCACGGATTTGGTTCCATACCAACACCAGTTTTGCTGTGAGCCCAGGCAGCAGGGAACTGTCCTGCTTCTGCTCCCTGCGATGTGGATCTGTTACTACACCTCTTCAGATCTACAGCACAGCCAGCGGCACAGGCATTCTGGGTAGCACCCTGGGATGGCCAGAGGGTACAGCCATTCCTCTGGGGCAAAGCAAACACTGGGAAGGTCATAGCAATAGCAAAACAGTAACCCAAAAGTTGCATCTTCCCCAATAAAGGTGTTTAGACTCTATCACCCACAATTCAAGCCTGTTGACGGCACTGGCTGTGCAGAAGGAAGGGCTTTATGTACCAAAAAGTGCTAATGAGCCATTTGGACTACCAGCTCAATTTTTCATTAGCAATATTTCCATTTGGGAATTCTTTAAGATGAATCAGAACTACTTCACTGGCTTTTTATTTCTTGTTTCATGTTCCACTTAACAAACTGCACCTGTCTTGCAATCCCTACAAGTAGCCCCAATGCCAGTAATGTTACTCTGGCAGCTGAGATTTTAGGTTCTTAACCTACTTAAAAATAATTCATTATTAACATTTGGGAAAAAATATCACAGAGACATTTCCTGGTAGGTTACACGTAAGTGCTGCCACCAGCTATGAGCATCACCGAGGCATTTTAATTTTACTAGGTAACCGGCCAGTTGCTGGGACTCACATCTCAATAGATATTTAATTACTTTCTAGAAATAGACAGTTCTGGAAACATTAATGATGTCTGTCACAGAGAGATCATAATTTCTGAAAAGCATTTACCTGTTCCAAAATGGTGTTGATTCTGTCTACTTCACAGTCAATTAAGTATCTTTTTTCTTGCCGCCTGTCCATCTCCTCTATAATTCTTCTGAACTCTTGAACATCCTTTATGCTTCCTACAGATCTGGCTGTCACTTGCCAGTTGTTCTGTACTGCTGCTTCCATAATCGCCTGAAGAATGGAAAATCCTGTAGGGGGAAGAGACAATGCAAACATTTGAAAACAGAACAAAAATAAAAACTATTTTGAATGTTTGACAACGGGTTCACAAAAGCTTGCACCACCTAAAGGGACACAGACTAGCCTGCAAGTGCTTCATTACTTGAGAAAGCAACAGTGTAGGGACCAGTTTCTTCTTCCAGCTATGCCACTGCCAAAGTCACTGACTTCAGCAGAATTGCTTGGCGGTATATTACTGTGAGCTGTATCAGAATCTGTCCAATATATCATATTATGATCCTCTCAGGGATGTTTATGGTCGTGCTGGGGTCTGTGCCAGCTGAGAATAGGAGCCTGCAGCCATTACTTGGGCAAAAGTCCATCAGCTTGAAGAGCCGGACAGAAGGGGTAATTTGCCTGTGCAGACTGCAGCAATGGGTCATTAACTGGCAAAGATCCAAGCACTGCACAAGAATGCCAATTAAGTCATTGTACTGGTTATTGGAGCCACAAACCACAGGAGAGTATTTTACTGATACTCACTTTGGTTTCAAAAAATGTTTTTAAATATGGAGTCTAGCAGCATTAACCACACTTTCAATGCTTTCATTAAGGTAATACCAACTCATTTAGCAGCCTCAACAGAGAGAAGCAGCACAGAATGACCAAAGACTGCACAGTGGGAAATTACACAAGCAAACAGCATTTTATTTCTTGTGAACAGCCGTGCCTCGGTGGCAGACAGAACTCAAGTCAAGTCCCTAAGTGAAAGGTGGTGGAACTGGGAACGGTAATCTCCAAGTCATGTTACGTCAGAGTCATCAGACATGGATGTGCATCCCTTTATTATAGTATGCAGCCAGGAATTTGGTGAATTACCTGCTTTGATTCAGGAAATTAAAAATTTTGCATAGTTCTAATTGTTTCAAATCTGTGCGGATGCCAAAGACGGAGGTCCCCTACTTCAAACACACAGTGGTTTCCACTGGAGTTACTTTCTACAGAAGCATCCATGTGAGCTGTGTTTCTGTCCAGATAATCTATTTGCAACACTTTCAGTCCAATCATTTAGTCATACTGTGGATTGCTTATCCACAGCCAGATTTGAGAAGCTCAGAATGCCTTCACACACACAAATGCATAAACATACAGGATCAACAATCAATTAATTATGCTCCGTGATAACCAGTTCCCCATGCTTCTGAAACTGAAAGGAGTTTGAGCTACAGGGGAACAACATGTTCACTGCTCCGAATCATACCAGTGGCTAGTCTGAACTCACTCGTATCATTGTAGGGGTATACAGAAAACAAAGAACTTGTGCCGCAGTCTGATCTTCCGTAGCCTGCTGTAAATCTGTAGCTGCTGTCTGAAGCCAGAGGAGCTGCATCATTACCTCATTACAGACACAAACAAGGAAAGTGTGTGATTTTCTAGATTGCAGTTAGATTATTATAATTTACCATGTGACTTCCTCAAGTCTCACTCAAATGCCCTCACTTTCCCTGTGCAGCCTCCTTGAATCTTAATGCTTTTCTTTGTATGAATGCACTTTACGATCCCATGAAAGGTGGTGACAATTAACGTGTACACTGGTTGGGAATTCTTTCTGGCATCTTCTTTCCCCTGAGACTATCGAAAAGGAGGCATTTACATATGTATAGTACAATGAACTCAGTCTTCCTTAACATCATATTTTACAAAAATGGCTGTGATGTCTGTGACAGCATTGTGATTCCATTACACGTAGGAGGAATATCCAAGCTGAAGATATTTGGTTGGCTGCAAATGAGGAATTTTGATGTGGGAACGTAAATACACTACTGGGGATTTACAAATGATTTGTGTACAAAGATGTGCTTTTAAAAAAATATGATTCCACTAAGTAATGAATATTTACAACTTTGTTTCATCATTCATATAATGTCTAAGTATGAACCTTGACTGCATGAAACAGTCCATACGTCTATTTTTTTCACTCCAAATTGAACAAAATGGCTCAACATATTATAAAAAAATGACACTTTAAAAAAAAATCTGTAGCTCTATTTTTTGCTAATAACACATACAAAACTTAAGAACTGTCTCAAGGGAAGAAGTGAAAACGAACATGCTGGAGAGCAGATGCCATCAGTCGACTGCCATGCACCCGGTTTCAGTTAACACTGTTTGAGTCAGAGCTCTCTTTGTCAAACCTTTAATATCTCAGAAGAAATCTGGGCAATTTTCCTAATTTTGTGCAACTGCATGTTTGTGGGGGTGTGAGTGTGTGTGTCTTTGCATTAGTCAGTGGTTACCATTTCAAGAAAGAGAAGAGCAAGGTTACCCACAGCCTTTCTCCTATGCATGAAAATACGATTACAGTAATCTTAGTGTGAAAAAGTTCCAGAGCTTCATAATTTCTGTCTTCTCTACCTCCTGTTTCTCCTTGTCACACCAAGCCTTTACAGTCGCAGTCCCCTCTACCCTTGCCAGTTCTTGAAATCCTCCCTCCGGTCACCATCTGCGCCGTGCCAGCTCGCCTCTCTTGGGCCCTCTCCCTCTCCCATCCTTGCTTTGAGAAGTTCCACTTGCCCTTCCTGCCATGGCTCATTAGGCTGGTCCTCTGACGATCCGTACAAAGCCCACTCCCCTTGCTTTCCAAAAGCGTGGTTCAAACCTCCTGCTTGCAGGAAGGCAGCACGCTCGCATCTTCGCAAACACGCATTCGCTGTTCCCAACCTGCGATCTCTCTGCACACCTATTGCCTTCAGCACCATTTCCTACATTTTACATTGCTACGCATTACGTGATCTTTCTGTAAACAACATGTTCCAGGCTCCAGCTGTACTTTACCATTAAGAGCGCTGTTATATAAGCAGTGTGATTGTTTAAATAAAAGGGCCATTTTTGTCTTCAAATATGAACTTTTCTTTCTCCTTAGCATAACAATGCAAGCTGTGACATTTCAGGGGTACTGCCTGGGCAATGAACGGGGAGATTATATTCCCTGTTCTGTGCATGTCAGTGACCAGACCTGCACACCGAGCTTTTCCATCCCCTACCCTCCAGTAAACATGCCGCACCAATGCTTCACAGGAGATGCTTGCCCCTGAGCACCCGGGAGGTGCTGAACTCTCATGGGTGCCTCTCATCGCATTCACCCTAAAGGAAACCAGCCAGCCATGGAAACTCTCTCTATTTTGTAGTTTTTCTACGGTCTGCATCAGATCTATCTCGAAAGACTAAAAGGACTGATAATTCACCACAGGTCTGTGAAGAAGCCATGCAGGAAAGGCTTCCATTAATACTGCTGCTGGTTTATACTAGTTCAATCGATAATGCCAAAAATATTAGGTAAGACAAGAAAAACTGATGTCCTCCTAGAAGATGACAGCAATGGGATCATCTCAAAACAGGTTCATAATACCATTACTAAAATTCTGAGGTTGTTCATTCTATTAATACAATTCTATTAATACAAATATAGACAACAGGAAAAATTCACTCAGACCCCAATCTGATCTTTCAACCTCTTTTTTCTCAGTCATACCTTGGATGTGAAAAAGGATGGAAGGCATGTATTTTTCTGGAAGCACTGCTTCTGAGGCTAGCTTGCCTGATGGCACCACATCCCTTCACTGCACTGTGTTATTAACATGTTGGCATTACCGATTTACAAATAGGTCTGGTCACACGATGGCGATGTCCATACTCGCCAGGTCATGTAACAGCCCCATATCACGTTCTGGTCCCTTCTAGCCATGTACTGGGGAGGGGTTGTTCCTGTGATCTTTGAATGCAATCTCTCAAGTCAATCTGATCCGCACCTAACTAAAAGCTTAGACAATCCTGGCCTTAGTATTCAAATGCGTCATTGTCTGGCTTATTCTTAAAATATCGATGATTTAAAAGAGCTAACCCTCATCTAAACAGTCTGCAGAATGATTGGGCTGGAGGTAGCTATAGTAATAAAACTAGAACAAACAAGTGCCCAGCTTCTCTCTCAGTGAGCTGAAGCAAATATTTTTAGTTTTGCTGACTGAAGCTTGCAAAGAGGGAAAATATTCAATATAATTTTCCCTGAAAGCAGGGAAAGTATCACTTGTTGCAATGCTATCTCTGTACTTTAAACAACCCAGACAGAATCACATTCTCGGCAATCTTCCCTGCAGCTGGGCTAAGATACAAATTCAGCCAGTATCTTCATACTTCTGCCAGGGAAGCAAAGCCTGTACCTCATTCTTTCAGATCATCCCTTTGACACAAGCATCTCTCAACTGACCCTACTAACACAGGTGAAGAGGACATTTCACTCTTTTGCATCTATGGAAGCTCATGAAACTTTTTCCACATCCATGTAAGCAAAATTAATCTCAGCAGTTTGCTCTGCCATATGAAATTCTATGTACTACATCGTTGAACTTACTCTTGTTTAAGTAACAGCAATCATTAAAGTGTCATGAGTAAATGACCACACTGGAACATCTGTAGCATCACGTGAGCCCTTGCAGTTGGCACCAAAGTAGTTACTGAGAAAAAATTACCACTTACATAAATAATTCTTTTCCTGAATGTTCCTGATAAGATCTCAGACCTCAGCCTCCTATTAGAAATGAAAGAGCGTTTGTTTGCAGTCCCTCTTTCTTTTGCCTTGCTGAGTACTAAAGAGCTTTGAGGGGTATATTTTTCTGCCATGCAGCATGCTCTTGCCAGCTGAATGAACATCAGCTCTGATGTGAATACTTGTCTTTTGAACGATATATCTGGGACATGATACGAGGAACTAAGCTTCTGGCCTACGAGTGAACTTCAGGGATTTAAGAGTGGAGCTGTGTTTGACAAGGGCACGATGAACTCACCAAAAAGGAGGCCATCAAGGCAAGTGCTTCCCCAAGACAAATACAAATTCTATGACGCCAGCTTACATTTCAAGCGTTCCAGGGGTCTGTAAGTTGAGATATACTTGGATATTTTGTGTGTTTGGCACTGAGCCTAGTGCTAATTTAAAAGCAAACAGATCAACATGTTAGGCGTGAGTAAAAAAACA